TTTGCTACAGATAGGCTTTTCTCGTCACGATGCTGATGCTTTTACGGTTGTTTTCAATGTTAGCTCTGCCCAAGGTGGCCCCAGTGCTGCTGTTTTAGAATGAGGAACACTGTCTGAATGTAGGCTTTCTGTGGCTTCTTTTCTTTAAACCCTGCACCATTTTGCACCTGATACTGATGTCCTTTTGTCATGGTTTAACCCCAGCCAGCAACTAAGCACCATGCAATGACTCATTCGCTCCCCCCCACCCAGTGGGATGGGGGAGAGAATCAGAAGGAAAAAAGGTAAAACTCATGGGTTGAGATAAGAACAGAAAGGAAGAAACTAATAATGATAATAACAACAATAATAAAATGACAATAATAACAAAAGGATTGGAATATACAAAACAAGGGATGCACAATGCAATTGCTCACCACTTGCCAACAGATGCCCAGTTAGTTCCTGAGCAGCGATCCCCCCCGGCCAACTCCCCCCAGTTTATGTACTGGACATGATGTCATATGATATGGAATACCCCTTTGGCCAGTTTGGGTCAGCTGCTCTGGCTGTGTCCCCTTCCAGCTTCTCATGCCTCTCCAGCCTTCTTGCTGGCTGGGAACGAGAAGCTGAAAAGTCTTTGACTTAGTCTAAACACTACTTAGCAACAGCTGAAAACATCGGTGTGTTATCAACATCCTTCTCATACTGAATCCAAGACACAGCACTATACCAGCTACTAGAAAGAAAATTAACTCTATCCTAGCCAAAACCAGGACACCTTTGCTTTCAGACAGGCAAAACTACATCTGGTGCCACCATGGATATTGTCCAAGGCAAGACCAAAAAAGGACGGTTTGATTTTCTCTGTCAAGTAGACAAAATGGGATGGGACCCATCAGCTCTGAGGGAGCCATGTGTACTGCCCTATCCTAGATCAGGTGCCTGTGAGGAACAGGCTACCTTATACCTGATTTTTCCTTCTTGGAGCAGATCAGTAGTTGAGGGCTCAGCAGTGGACTGTCTTTTTTTCCTCTTTCTCCCTTTCAATACTGGGGAGTGACCACACAGAAGCAATGCATGGCAGGGGAGAATTACAGCTGCCTGCTTACAGCCCTTCTTCCTGGGAGTGGCATCCAGGGCAGAACAGAGTAAATTTCTTGCTCTCTTTTCTTTCTGGGGAAAGATTGTCAGCTGTGAGGAGGAGAGTGCAGAAAGGCTGGGAACCTTGAATTTAACTCACTTATTTCAATAATGATTATACCTGCACTTCTGTGGTGGAGCAGTAGTCTGAGAACAGCCAAGATAGCTCAGAGGTACTGGTGCTAAAAGTGTGCATGATATAAAGCGTTTCCTGCTTCCTTCCATACCGAACGATACATCCTAGCTATTTTGATTTCTAGAGAAGCTTCTTCCATTTCCTTTCCTCCATTCAGCTGGACACTGAATTTTTAAAAGTTATTTTCTGGTCCACATCCTTTTCAGGAAGGAAGTTAAACAGGATTTCACCTTTAGTATTGTTAATAACCACAAGGAGGTTGCAAATCTGAAGAAAAGGAGGAGGCAGGTGGATATATAAGGTGTTGCTCTACTTGCTGTGTTGTATTTGTGATTCTGGTTTTGCTTGTATGTATTTTTCCCCAGTAATTTTATAAAAATATTGCAAGTAACAAAGTGCCTGTAATTCCTGAGATTCTCAGAGTCCTACTTTGTATTGGACCATATTTATACATCAAGGCAATAGTAGACCCTTTCCTAACTCTAAATAATCCTCCTCACTTGAATATTCAAGTGCTTTTCAGTAATTAGTTTTGTTACATAATTGCTAATTTTTCTCGATCTTGCAGGAAGCTTTGCTTCGATCTTGCAGGAAGAACCTGAGCCACCAGGTTGAGGGAATTATTTCTCCGTGTTACATGCAGAGCCTGCTGCTGCTGAAATAGGAATTTTACTCAAATACGATTCCAGCTTTACAACGAGAATATTACAGAGCAGTACAAGAGCCCTTCTGTTTTCATTTCACTTCATTACATGCACTGTTCATTTTGCTATTTGCTGTTTTTCTCTAGCTCCAAATCAGTAGACCTCCTGGAGAAGCTAATAGCAGGAATGTAAACCCTGCTGGGAGCTACCTGTGTCCTGCCGTTTGGTTGCTGCAGAGGAGTTACTGACTCAGTAGCAGGAGTTCATCAAAACCAGAGCACTTCAGTGGTTGCTTGTGGTATTCATAGATCTCAATGCAAAATCCTCATCAAAGCGTGCAACATTTTAGGCCCTTTGCTGGCGTCTGACTTCTCCTGTCTGTGCATTCATTAATTTTAAGGATTTACTGAAGAGTTTAGAATCTTCCTGTAAATTGCTTGGTTTCTGCTATTAATTATTCACAATCCATGATGTTTGACGATGTCATATTTGATGTATTGCCTCACTTAGCTGCCTTCCTCTCTGTCCCCCTGCCGAGTTTCATTGAACAAGTGTGGAAACCATACGAACTGTAAAATATCCGAGCTCCTCAAAGATTACTGGGATATCTGTGGAAGGAGTGGAATAGTCTCAGTCAAACTTATTAATTATTTTGTCCATAAATCTGATCATTGTTGTACTAACTGTAATGGCTTTTGCTTATGGTCAGGCTTTAAAAGTTCACTATATAATATATTGCTTCATTCTAAGTGGCACTAGAAACTAACCCTACACAGAAAATGAACAGTGAATACATGTTACATATTTCCAGATAACTTCAAAATTGCTGAGAATCTTCCTTAATGGAAGAACATCAAGATAAATATTTGACTGGAATGGATTTGAATGCTTGATACTGACATAAAAAGAAGGAAAACAGCCTGATTTCACTGAGAGAATTAGAGGGGTAATTGGACCACAGCTTGCGATGGATGGTAATGGTTAACATGGCGAGATGGATTTCAAGCTGTAACTGATATGACTATTTAGATTTTTTTTTTTTCCCTGCATATTTTTGAGGCATAGAGTAATGTATCTGACATGGGGGAAGGGCTGTTTCTTGGACAGTCAGATCTATTGCCAAACTCTGGATTGTGGAAATACCCGATTACCTAGTTGGTAAAGATGTCAGGTATAGGCTTTTTTTAAGCATAAATCTGCTGTTTAGAAAATGACCTAAACCCAGACAGAATTTGAGCCTCAAGAGCTGCAGCTCTGAGGATGAATATGAAGCATAGAAGACTCCTGTGGCCACTGTCATGAGCTTTCATAGCCTTATTTCTCCTTCTGCCTGAGCTGTTGTATTCTTCACATGGGTATGGAGCTGATGCAAAACATTCTGATTATTTGACCATAAAAGCTCTCCAGTCAGCCCTGCAAATCAGCTCCAAGGAACCATAATGATTTTGATGAAATCTCCGTAACCTTTTATATACACTTAAGAAGAGGTCTCTTTATCAGAACAGAATGCTTTTTTTTTAAGTTACTTTGCATTTATTCATTATATATCATACACAATGGAATTTAAAAAATGAAAATGAAATGCCTTGATTTCATTGATATTAAATGTTTCAATTACATAAAAAAGGACTTTATGAGGTTTTATTTTTTTTTCTACATACTCGTTTTTGGAATGTGACCAAATTTGAAACTTTCAGAGTTCACTGTGAATCTTCCATTTCCACACTGTTCCACATGTATGCCAAAATATATTTGTAGAACTCCACCAGATATAGTGATAGATTTAATGAAACAGGAGATAATTTCATAGAAGAAAAATTATATTTGTGAACTGTATATACCTGTATACAGGAAAAGAATCTGTTTTACGGCAGCAAGATGCTGCTACCCTTATTCAGCCCAGGTTTTCACAATGAATATTCTGTCTAGATGTCTGTGTCAGTTTTTCAGTAAAGAACTTTGAGCTCCTGCTAAGAGGTTTACGTTATCATGTAGTATGGATAATAAAAAGGAGAGGAATGGCACTGTCACGGCTGTTCTGGAATATCTCTTTTAAGTAGTTACTTTACATGCAGGGTAGTCTAACCTTAAGTTGAAATGTTCACAGCATTAACGTATAACTTCCCAACAACAGCCCATTTTTTTTCAACTTTTACAAAGAGAAGCTTAGTTTAAAAATATGCAGTTACTTGCTTGGCTTTAAACTTTCAACCAGAATCTCCCTGTTAAGTTGGAATGGGGAAAAAGCTGTAGAATTTGAGATGCAAATGGAACTTGCTAATTGACTGCTGGACATGGGATGCTGTTCTCCTAACACCATGTCTTCTAGCCTTCTCAAAGCTAAATGTCTACTAGCCTTCTAGTCACTCTTTGGCAATCCTGCAGAGAGAGATGCATTTAATAACAGACACATGTTTCCGCACCTGCCTTGGGTGGGGCTGGAAAGCCTTCAGGAGGTGTTCTCTTGCTGCCTAAATGTCTTAGTAAAGCTGTACAAGACTGTTCCCACCTGGACACTGTGAGCTGACTGTTTTCTTAATATTCTTCGTATGTTCCATTTGCTGGTGTTCAGAAGAAATGCCAAATATATTTTTTGGAGCGTGGAAATCACTCTGCTTTCTGCCTTACTGCTTATTGCATCAGCTCAGGTGCGTTATAATGGCTCAGAAAAGCACTTGTGTTAACACCTTATTGCTGAAGGATGGGATGGTTTGTGGTAGTTTCAGATAATTTGCAGTTCATTTTGTTCTTTTATTATGGCTTTTTCAGGAAGTAGGAAATAGTCCTGATGTGGTTTGGGAAGCCCTTCAGAAATATTGGCACTGTTCACCTTAAACATAAGGTGAAAATAGTACCAAGTGTATACAAGTGATGTTATGCATTGTAAACCCGTAGCAAATAACTTTAATGCTGCTGGGCACACTTTTCAAAAGTAACTTAGAAGTGACATTCTCAAGAGTGATTTGGGCCCTTTGGCGTAGCTCTTAACAAGTTGTGTTGTGGATTCCTGAGTCACTTCACAGGTGAAAATTTTCCATGTCATCCTTATTAGCAGCCAGTAGCTCCATGATGTTTTTTTCTTTCTCTCTCTTCCCCAGCTCCCTTTTTTAGATACTGGATACTTCTTTTATCACAATGGCATTGCCAAGGCCAGGAGAAGACGTAGTCTTCAACACAAGCTTCACTTGGAAAAGGATTCCAGGGTAAGTGTTTCATCATTATGTGTACCTACCATTTTCTTTGTGACACACGCTATTTTTTATGAGATTGGGGTGATGATCGAATATGTAGTTATGGCTACGTTTTCTGCTCCCATGCTAGTTTCAAGCTTGGTGACTGCTGTATGCACACACCTCCCAAACAGCCTCATCTTGTATTTTTATTTCACTGCTACAAATACTCTTACATTCTCTGAGATGTATACTCTCTCTAGTAAGACTCAGTGATGCCATAATCTCCAGGACATCTCAGTGCACTCTTGTTGCTGTACTGTGGGGAGGGGCCATCCAGGGTGCATCTCATAATCGTCCTCCATGCATCCTGCTAGTCCATAGGTCATCCAGCCCAGAATACCTCGTGGTGTGAATGGTGGCATTTTTTCTGCAGTCACGCTGCAACTTTTTCTCAGGGAGTAGTGTACACACCAGATGCTAAAAGAGTGTATGCTGTCAAACTTCAGTATTTCTTTTAGAGGCTCTTGCTCATGGTCTGCAAATGGTGTTCTCAGTTTTCAGAATCATAAACCCCTCAGAGAGGAGGGAAAGGCCCCTTTTGCAGAAGGCTACGAGCTGGCACTAGCAAATTCTTTTTTCTTTTCTTCAGAGTTTTTACACCAGTATAATAGTGGGCTGGAGTGGGGCCAGGTAGCACAAAAAGTGTATTTACTGCCCAAAGAAAGTAGATAAGCCTGAGGAATGATATAATGACAGCAAATAGATTATTTTTTAATCCTTCAGTAGGATTTAAACTCTCTGCACTGTGAGCAAAAAAGAGGGGGGAACAATTTTGTTCCAGACAGAATTTTATTGCCATATATTATATGGTATTGAAATACCTATGAAAATGGAAAAATTGAGTAGGAAGAAAAGAAAAATAGGTTAAATAAGATCATAATTGTTGTTGTGACACCAGAACAAGCAAGGTCTGAATTCCCAGCTTAATTTTCCTACTTCTGCAGAAATTTGAAATGATTCTGGGCCCAGGTCCAGCTGGGATGCATATGGTTGGTAGCTCCTGCGGCTGGGAGCCATGTGAGTGAACCACACAGGTTCCAGGTGCTAACTGCCCCATCACTTCATCCTGAGATGCTGAGATGTGAATGCTTGCAGGTTCCCTGGGGCTGCTGCTGGTCTTCTAGTGCTGTAATGTACCTCTTCCTGGCCCCCTTCTCTAAAGCTGGTACCAGGTACAGGTGAGGGGCTATGAGGAAGAGACCCATTCAACCTGCCTTGAATAGGAAATTATCAGGCTTCCCTCGTTTTGTTTACCAAGCAGGGATCAGAAAGTAAACCACTGAGAAACCATCTACAATTAGTGAGTACTAAGCAAATGTCCTGAGAGAGGTGTCTTTCATTTCCCTGAACCACCCAATCTTGTCCAAAGCCATTTCAGAAAAAGCATGCGACTAAGCGAGTACGTTGCAAACTAGTGACTGAGTACAGTCATTGTGCAGGTGACTCTACTGGAAATAAATATTTCTGTGAGCCTCTGAAAATTTTACAAATATCTGTGATATGTGTATGAATCTGTCAACTCTCACTGGAGCCTCGTATTACATGGCTGAGCACTCATGTGCTAATTCCAGACTGGCTCTTGCATTGGCTACCTCTAGACTAGGTGTCTGCAGCGCTATCAGGAACAGCTTAAATGAATATACCTTCTAGTTTGGAGATGTTCTGTTTTGCAGTCATCTGATATTTGTGGTCTCTAGAGTCTTAGTTGGCTTCTGTCACTTGCAATAAAATCTCGTTTTTGCTGTTAATCTCCACTTCTTCCTGGTGCTGCATACCAATGGCTCAGCTCTCCTTGGCTCCCTCTGATCTCAGGGAGTAAAGTCCTGTGTTTAAATAACTAAGAATATCTCCCATGTGAGGAAAAGGATGATCCTGGGTGTATCCTGACCTCATGGGTTACACTGGGGGATGGAAGAGGGGTGGAAGCAACATTTCATTTCCACATGTAACATGATATTTTCTCATCTAGACCTCCTACTTACTCTGTCCTGTTGGGTAGTCCTTGAGCTCTTATGATAGATACCATGTATGTCGGTTGCTTTTTGTAATACAGTTTGAGAGCAATTAAAATCATTACTCTTTTTTCCCTTCTTTCTTTTATACATGGAGTTTGGAGAAGTCATTAAAATTCCTGTCATATTTGCGTATAAGTGGAAACATGAGTTATGTTGACAGTACTTAATTTCAACTCCAAAAATAATTTCTAAATTTAATGGCAGCTTTCTAGACCATTTACATTCAATTTAACTTAGCAACAAATGTCAGCACTGTCATGGTTAATACGTTAATGCATGAAGCCAAGACTAAAATGTTACTGTTGTCAGGCTAGCCAGGAAGCAAACTTCCACCACAGGGCCTTACAAATCTCTTGGGAACCATTATGGTAAATGCTGTAGTTGCTTAGCCCTACCCAAATGTTGTGAGAAAGTGGGCTGCAGTTATTCTGTATACGTTTCACTTTTAAGGAGATTACAATTCCTAGCTAATTTTAATTATTAGTTGAAAAACAGCACAGATGTTCACTCAATTAATTAATGTTCTTTAATCAAGTAAATCCCTTGAGGAGCCATGTCAGTTTTTCAAGAGTCTGGGGAGATAGATAGCAGAGCACTATGCAAACAGGTTACTGCATAATTTTCATGCTTTGCATGTCTTTTAACATGCTCGAAAAAGCTTTGTTCTGTAAAATTCACTCAGTGTTTTTACTAAAATAATTTGGAGATATGCTAAACTTATACAGTGGTTCTGTGATAAACATCATCACTGTCAAGGGGGTGGGAATGGAGCATTATTAAGATGCCTTCCTAGAGATCCAGCAAGAACTGAATCTTTGTTCTGAAGAACAACCTCAGATACAATGGATTTGACATTATTTAATACATTAGTGTGGCTGAAGCCTGCAGCAGTGCTGGCAGCAGGTGAAGGCATATGTAATAGTGTCATATAGTGTGTTGTGCTATTGAACTATTCAAGAAAAAAGTGCAGGTGCATGAAGCACCGTGGCTTTTGCTGTCACTACAGTCCTCCCAGGGATCCTCACTGTCAGGATGGTAAATGCCACAGTGAACTGAACTGCTTCAAATGGAGACTGTTTAGTTATTTAAATTACATTCTCTGAGTTATAGAGAACCTTCCAGGAGAGGTTTGCTGAGAAACAACTCTTTTGCGTCAGTTGCAAATTTCCATGATTTCCAGGGGCACTTGTATTTTGTTATTTTACAGTATGTACCTTTGGTGCCAAATAGATTGTGGGGGTGGGGGTGGGAGAAACATTTTTACATCTTAAAGCTGGAATTTTTAATGAGATAAGACATAGCAGCAAGATATCTAGCATCCTCCATGCAAAATTGCATTTTTGTTTGCCTTTATCTGTTAATTGCTTTAGCTGAAATTTCTCAGACCAAAAGGTCAGCTATTAGGCTTGTTTGCCTTGGGAAACTTCACTTTGCCCTGGAGCTGCAGGCAGGGAGGCAGTGCTTGCCATGATCCCTGGGTGCACGCAGCTGGGAGGAGGAAACTGCGGGGTGACAGCAGGGGCAAGGGCCCTGACGGACCAACATAAAGCCAATGAGGGGCAGAGTAGGGTGGGACCGGACATCATCATGAAGGTGTGGAGAGAATAAGTGGGACAGGCTGGAACAAGAGCCCAGAGTCAGAAAAAACGTTGAGTGATTTGGTCATGGAGCCAGCCCATGAGCTTAGGAGGACGTGGAGAAGCACAGGGGTAGATTGGAGAGACTGGAAACAAGGTGTCCACATTGACATTAAAGCATGCTGCCTCCTGAGTGCAACTTTAGAGCAAGGTGACCTTTTCCAAGGGAGACTTCCCTGCAAGCAAGGGGAAATACAGCTTCTCTAAGAGCAAACTTCGGTTTTAATTATGAGGAACAGTGGTATATGGTATCAACGTGAGTGCTCTGGCAAAGTAAATCAGAAATACAGAGATACTTCATACTGTTTTGTTTGTTGGGTTTCCTGTCTCTGGAAGTACATTAGAGGCAGGATGGGAAGCGGAGGCCTTTCCTGCTCCAACGTACCTAAAAGAAAACCATGGGATTTGCTTCATTTTGATTTTCAAAACTGACTTAGATTCTGGCCTTCTGTGGAGAGACTCAGCTGTTTTATTAATAAAAATGTTTTGAAAAGTGGACAAATAAGTAAAGGAAAGAAAAAATGCGTGGTCGTTAAGTTACGTTTCAGAGCAATACTTTTGTATTTTTGCTGGTTTGGGGTATTTTCTGTTAGTAAATAGTCTTCCACTGAAGAGCAAGAGTTGAAACACAGTTTATTCTCTCAAAGATTATTTTGCTTTCTTTCAAGTTTTAGATAAAACCATTTTCCTCCCACACAGTCTCTCCTGTCAGACACCTGCCAAGGTTAATCCCACTCAAGAAAGAGGCTTTAATATACAGAGAAGAGCTGAGTCCCATTACTGATATCTATATGCAAGTGCATCTCTGTTGGTGTTGGGGGAATAAATATATACATACGTCGGGGGAATGTGAAATGAGAATCTTCCACTGAGAATAAGTGAGTTTGGCACTTAGATGATGACTTCTTTGGAGATAAACATCCCAGTGATGGCAATTGTTATGTTGCAGAAAGGGACTGGAGAGGGAGACTTGGTTGATACCTGTACTGGTACAGGAGTCTGGGGAGGTCAGATGCGCAGCTTCTTCAAGGCGTAGTCTCTAGGTGCCCATGGTTAACAGTACTTCCAAACTGCTTGTGTCATGGGACGAGGGAAGAAAAGGGGGCTGTAAATGGAGAGGATGAAAGCTTTTTATTAAATAAATCAAAATCTTCCATATCCTTCCTTGCCTCAGATCTCTCCCATGCCCCCTTAACATGACTGGCTTGTGGTTGGACTGTTGCAACCTGTGAAGGCAGAAGTGCCCTGTGATGACAGGCAGGGGGTTGCCAAGTGCTGCTGGAGCCAGGTATTTCATCCGTGGTCACCTTTAACAGGG